AGTTCGCTCTTTCGCTCAGGCTGTCTTCAAAACTCCTGATCTCGAGCAAATCGCCCGCCTCGCCTCCCAAGGTCGCTAGGATTAACAGCGCTGAGCACCCGCACTGCCTGAAACTTTATCTTATGGAGATTAGGAACTTGGAGTAAGAGAGGGAGGTAAGCAAATAATAAAAAGAAATTTACTTATGTTTCTTAACCTTACCACATATAGCCTAAAAGTTAAGTTTCTATAATTTTTTAATAATTTGTACATGAAACATCTGTGTACATTGAACCTGCAGAAACAAAAATAATCATGGTATCTCTGCCAAGCAGTCGTAATCAAAAAGAGGAATAGAAAAAGAGTAAAAAAGAAAATAGATAGCAAGGTTCACTATCTTAACCACCATGTGGACATATGTGGTTGATTTGGCCATCAACCATCATTCCCAATCTGAATTTTATGAAAAAAGTCATTTTCTGACACTTATTAACATCACAAGTGTTGACAGTAAAAAAATATGTCATTTTATACAGTAACGTAATGTATCAGAGTAACTAAGCGCAGCACAGGTACCATCACCAGAATACCTACCATTGCGTTAACACAATGCAACAAACAATGGCAGCTTGCGAGCTCACCCTACAATGCTGTGTTGATTGAAGGTACTTACTGTACACTGGCCAGGCCCGGTGCTTACCCTACCATCCAAGCACTTCAGGTATGCCTTGGTGGAAGGATCACTGAGAGTTTGAGACCACATGCGCCAAAGATAATTAGACCCTTATACAAAAAAAAATTTACAACTACCTCTGCGACGGCTGACGGCGGGGGATCATTTGAGCTCAGGACGTTCGAGACCAGCCTGAGCAAGAGCAAGCCGGGTCTTCTACTAAAAGTAGAAAGATATAGCCTGCCACCACAGATTTTTTCTGTATGGGCAGCCAGGGATTATAAACCACTCCTCTAAAGGCGCCATTTAATGCAAATAATCCCAGGCCGGGCTGGTGACTCTCGCCTTGTTCCTGCACTTCTGGAGGCCGGCCAGGTGGGAGGTGGCGGAGGATTGTCGGATCAAGAGTTCAAACCAGCCTGAGCAAGAGCTGAACCCATCTCTACTATAAATAGAAAATAAATTAATTGGCCAATAATTATAGAGAAAAAAATTACGCCAGCATGGTGGCACATGCTGTCAGTCCAGCTAATTTGGAGAGGTGATGCAGAGATTGCTGCAGTCCAGGATTTGGGAGGCTTGCTGTGAGGTATGACCTGACACCACAGCACTGCACTCTTAGCTGGCAACAAGTGAGACTCGTGTCTCAAAAAATAAATAAAAAAAAATAGGCCAGGGGCGTGGCTCACACCGTAATCCTACACTCTGGGAGGCTGAGCGGGTGGTTCCAGGTCAGAGGTCGAAATCAGCTGAGCAAGAGTTGACCCCACTTCTACTATAATAGAAGAATTTGGCCAACTAAAAGGTAGTATAAAAAATTAAGCCGGCATGGCGTGCGGTGGCCGCATGCTGTAGTCCCAGCTTACTTCGGAGCTGAGCAGCGGATTGCTTGAGCCCAGGAGTTGAAGTTGGCTGTAGCCTGGCTGACGCCGACGCACCTCACTCTAGCCTGGGCCACAGAAGTGAGACTCTGTCTCAAAAAATAAAATAATAAAAATAAAAATAAAATGCAAAATCCAGATAGCAATACAGATATCCCTCAGTACCTGGTATGGTGTTCATTCTGAGTTTGATATAACTCAATCCAATTTTCTTGAGATCCTTGTTTGAATAGCAGATACCTCGTACCCTGAACAGCTACTTCAAATTTACTTCTGACTAATCACGTTAACCAGAATTGAAAACTTAATGTGAGTGAAGAAAAGGGTTATTAAAAAACTATTGACAAGCAAAATAGATGCCGAGAAATTAGAATATATGACGACTTGAGCCCTTAAATAATAGAGCCTTGATTAATATGTACATAAATAGAAAAGTATGGCTTCAACTGGATCCCGATTAGGCCTTTAAAAAAAAATTCATGTGAGGTAATCCCTAAAACATGCTAAAAAATTCAAATATGGCTGAAGTTGGTGGCTCACGCCTTGTACCTACACTCTGGACGAGGCCAAGCAGCGCACGATTGCTCGCACGTCAGGAGTTCCAGAACCAGCCTGACAAGAGTGAGACACCCATCTCCTACATATAAATAGAAATAAAACTAATGGCCAACTAAAAATATCTTTTTTTTTTTCTTTTTTTTTTCGTATACAAAAATTATACCGAGCATGGTGGCGCAATGACCTGTAGTCCCAGTACTGGGAGCTGAGTGCAGTAGGACGCTTAGAGCCCGAGGAGTT